TGGGGTTGTTAACCAATGTCATAAAACAATATGTGTACTACTGTTTGATGAGAAACTATTTGTTCTGTAAGCCTTCACCTGAAGTACAATAAAAAAAAATTAAAAAAAAAAAAAAGAAGATGGAAGATGAGGACCATGGTCTTGGCGAACATCCAGCTCAACTGGCATAACATAGTTGATAAAGAAAATGTTCTGCATCCTACTTTGGTGAGTAGCATCTGAAGTCTCAAAAGCTTGTGAGCGGCCATCTAAGATACATCTACTGGTCCCACCCAGTCTGGAGCTAAGGAGAATGAAGAAGACCAAACACAGATGGGAAGGGCTAGTCCAAAGAACTAATGAACCACAACTGCCACAGTCTGCAGGAGACTGAGTCCAGAACAAGATAGTGCCCGGCTACCACCACCGACTGCTCTAACAGGGATCACAGTAGAGGTTCCCAGACAAAGCAGAAGAAAAATGTCGAACAAAATTCTAACTCACAAAAAAGACCAGACTTACTGGTCTGATGGAGACTGGAGACATCAAATGAGTATTGCGCCCGGACACCCTTTTAACTCAGTACTGAAGTCACTCCTGAAGTTCACCCTTGAGCCAAAGATTAGACAGGCCTAATAAAACAATAACACATGTAGTTCAACCATGTATAGAAGACTAAATGGGCACACCAGCCCAAAAGCAAAGACAAGAAGGTAGGAAAGGACAGAAAAACTGGACGAATGGAAATGGGGAACCCGAGATCAAGAAGGGGAGAGTGTTGACACATTGTGGGATTTTTGGCAACCAATGTCACAAAACAATTTGTGTATTAATTGTTTAATGAGAAACTGATTTGTTCTGAAAACTTTCACTTAAAACACAATAAAGAAAAATTAAATTAAAAAAACTTCGAAGGAGTACAGAGTGACCGTACCAAAAAGAATTGGTCATCATTCACCATTTCAGGACGTAGCTTATGATTAAGAACTGATGGTATTGAAGGAAGAAATCCAAGCTGCAATGAAGGCATTGTCAAAAAACAAGGCTTCAGGAATTGATGGAATACCAATTGAGATGTTTAAAAAATGGATGCAATTCTGGAAGCACTGACTCATCTTCACCAAGAAAGTTTTGGAAGACAGCTGCCTGGCCAACTGACAGGAAGAGGCCTGTATCTGTGCCCATTCCAAAGAAAGGTGATCCAGCAGAATACAGAAATTATCAAACAATATCATTAATTTCACATGCAAGTAAATTTTGCTGAAGATAATTCAAAAACAGTTGCAGCAGTATATTGACAGAGAACTGCCAGGAATTCAAGCTGGATTCAGAAGAGGACGTGTAACAAAGGATATCATTGCTGATGTCAGATGGATCTTGGCTGAAGCAGAGAATACCAGAAAGATGTGTACCTGTGGACTTACTATGATTTTCTTCAGCTTCATCTTGTTCTTCTGACTTATAATATTGAGCTTTTCCATCGTCTCTTTGTAGTCGATTTGATTCCTGTGTTTTCCATCTGGTGAGATCCATGTGTATAGTCACCCTATGTGTTGTTGAAAAAAGATATTTGCAATGAGTAGTAAGTCATTGGTCTTGCAAAATTCTATCATGCGATCTCTAGTGTAGTTTCTATCACCAAGGCCATGTTTTCCAACTTCCAATCCTTCTTTGTTTCCAACTTTTGCATTCCAATCAACAATATTTATCAATACATCTTGCTTGCATGTCGATTTCAGACTGCAGAAGTTGGTAAGAATCTTCAATTTCTACATCTTTGACATTAGTGGTTGGTGCGTAAATTTGAATAGTAGTCATATTAACTGGTCTTCCTTGTAGGCGTATGGATATTAGCCTATCACTGACAGCGTTGTACTTCAGGATAGATCTTGAAATGTTCTTTTTGATGATGATTGCGACGCTTTTCCTCTTCATTCCCGGCATAGTAGACCATAATATTGTCCAATTCAGTATGGCCAATACCAGTCCATTTCAGCTCACTGCTGCCTAAGATATCAATCTTTATATGTTCCATTTCATTTTTGACAACTTTCAATTTTCCTAGATTCATACTTTCTATATTCCATGTTCCAATTATTAATGGATGTTTGCAGCTTTTTCTTCTCATTTTGAGTCATGCCACATCAGCAAGTTAAGATCCCAAAAACATAACTCTATCCCTGTCATTAAGGTCAACTGTAGTTTGTGGAGGCAGCTTTTTCTCAGTTGTATTTTGAGTGCCTTCCAAAATACACTGACGGGCTTGTCTTCCAGCAGTGTATCAGACAGTGTTCTGCTGCTATTCATAAGGTTTTCACTGGCCAGTTTTTTCAGAAGTAGACCAGGTCCTGGAAGCTCAGCTGAAACCTGTCCACCATGGGTTATCCTGCTGGGATTTGAAATACCAGTGACATAGCTTCCAGCATCTCATTAACATGCAAGCCACCACAGATACATTGGGGTTAAATGTGACTAGTGCTTCTAAAAAACTTAATTTTAAATTTTAGTTTAGTTTAAAAATTGATAACTTGATTCAGTTATTGAAAAGCTTTCAGACTAGTCTGGAACAAATTAGTTATGTGAATCTACTTTTTCAAGTGCAAATTTTTTGAAATCTAAATACAAATCGCATATTTCAGATGAAATTATAAATTGAGATGTACTATAAGTGTAAAATAAACATCAGATTTCAAAGACTATGATACAAGAATGTGAAATATTTCAATTATAATTTTTATATTGATGCATGTTGAGATAATATTTTGGATATGTTTGGTTAAATGAAATATATTATTAAAATTAATTTCACTGGTTTCTTATTACTTTTATTAATGTGGCTACTAGTAAATGTAAAATTATTATGTGGTACACATAATATTTCTCTTGAACCATGCTAGTTTAGGGAGTTTTTTTAAACATCACTGGAACCCATTTGATGATAAAAATGCCATCTGGGTCAACAATTAAATCTTATCAAAATCATAGCTTCCCCCCACATGTGGCACTGCTGTCAGTGAAGTGATGGTGTTGTTGGTAATAATTATGTTTTTTAAGCAATTACTGAATCGAATAACTCATCCTCTATCATTTACTTTTTTTTATTTTACTCATAACAAGTTTGATATTAGTGAAAATCAAATTGCTTAAAAATTTTTAGCCAACTGTTGAAAAATTTTGACAGGAATAAGTATGACTTTTGTTGAATATTATTATAACATGAGTAGTGTACAGTGTGAGGTACTTAAAGTTCTTAACTATATCTAGGAGAGTTTATGGTGTCTGCTTTCTAATAAGAGATGTTGCTTTCATATTTTCTTTTATTCTTACCTCAAACAAATTGGGCAAAAAGCATGGCCAAATGTGTAATGCTTTTTGTTTTGTCTGGTATCTGGTATGGTAAATGTGACTTTTATATAATTTTGTCTCATTGTTTATCTGTCAATTCTTCTAGGAGGTGATTTCCTCTCTTACCTGAGAAGGAAGAAGGATGAACTAAAACTCAAACAGTTAGTGAAATTTTCATTAGATGCTGCTGCTGGAATGGCATATCTTGAGAGTAAAAACTGTATACACAGGTAAGGAGAACTTTTTTTTAAAGCGTTTTCTAGTAATAGAATACTAGAAAACTTATATAGATTCTTGTTGGTTTTCATGTTTTATGTGAAAGCATTCTGCTGGTTATTTATATGGTTAGCAGAAACACGTGTTTTCTCTCATATCTTTCTTGAGATAAATGCTCCTAATTAAACAGTGACTTGCTCTCTAATTAGAATTTGTTTTATTATAATCATGAATAACAGTGACATAGAATGTACACAATTTAGTAATATAACCAGCAACAGTCACCTTAGCATTATAACCAAATAAGATTATCTAATGTTTTACCTTTTCTCGTTTTTCTGAAGAAATTACGTATAAAGTTATGGGAAAACAGAATAAAACAACAATTTGCAGCAGTGAATTTGGCCAAAGATGAAAGATTTTAGCATACTATTTATTTCAAAGTTGATTTTAGAAAACTTTCTCCGATTACCCCTAGTCAACCTGTTCTTAATGCTTTATAGATTGTAGTTTTAGTTGCTGGTAGCAAAAACTGTTCCTTATTGCCAAATGTCAACACAGCTTAAGATCTGTTGCATAATTCACGTCAGATCCTAAATATGGCAGATGTACATAAATGCACGTAAACAAAATGAAGTGGAGAATTGATGAGTTTTTATTCACTGGAAACGTCACATAATACCGACTTAATGCGTAGTAGAGTTCATTGTCAGATTGAACTGTGGTGGACTTTATCCAAGCTAGACTAGTTGTGAAAATATACTTTTCTCTGATGTGTCTTATTATACAGCCTTTGGCTTAACATTTTACTGAAGTTATATAATGTATTACTATAGGAGAACAAGGTTATCTTCACCTGATGTATAAGTTTATTTAATCTCAGTGCATATTTTTGGCTTAATTTTCCCAAAAAAAAAATTTGCTTAGTATTCATTGTTATTTATGTCATTGTCATATTTCTGTTTTACTTTCTATGAATATGGCTTAAATCACATTATAATAGATTTTTCTAATGACTTCTAAAGCTTTTGATTTTAGATGAGAATTACACTATCTTTAATTTTTTTAGAGGCAGGCTTTTTTTTAAGGTAACCATAAAGGGTTTTGCTCTCTATTTGTAGAAAAATCTGTAATTTTAGTTGCTCAGGAATTGGTGATACTTTGGGTTTCAGATTCTCCATCAAATTCTCTACTATAGTTTTTCATTTTGTCCTGAATATTCCTCAGACCATTAGACCATCTCTGACTTTAAACCATAATAAATAGAAATTATTAAAACTATTCATGAACTTGTCAATTACTGATAACTTTAATTTCTGATACTTTGCAGTTAAAGGAATTCTTTCAGTTCCTTGCTGCTTTGTAGTGATTACTCTCTTTGTAAATGGATAGCTATATTTTTTAAAATGCCTGTCATCACTTTGGAAATCATTCTAGATTATAGATGGCTGTTAGCTTTTAAAAATTTATCCTGTTCACCAGATCATAACATAATCTGCTGTAATATTATTTTCCCAGTTTCCTTTTGAAGAATTCCCATGCATTCATAAACTCTTGAAAATCAACCCTTGCTTGACCACATATCCTAGCAGGTTGTACATAGGACGTTTGCCAGCTGCGAAGGTTTCCCATTTGAACATCTTGAACAGTGTCACTGAGAGCAGGTTTAACAAAAAAAGTTTCAGCTTTAGTGCCAGTGTCCAGTGGTTGGTAGTGGCTTTCTGTGGTGCATGTTGAGAAGGATTCCAGGCTTAGGTACAAAGAGTACAGCAATCAATTAGCCATGTCTGCCAGGATGCTGCTGAGTGTTAGCAAACAGGTCACAAATTTGTCATCTTCAGCATAGAGTATCTTTTTTTTTTTTTTTTTGTCTTTATTCTCCTTAAAAGCATTTCCTTTATTTTTAACTTTCTGATATGGTTTTTCCTTACTAGCCACGATACAACAATGATGTAATATTTTGCTATAATCGTTTCCATTGATTTCTTCTAAGCTATATGCTCTTCATATTTCCATTATTAATCATAATTACTGGATGAATTTTTATGATCTCTGTAGTCAGTGGTCTTTTGTTCCTCTTTAAACTTATGCAAGTACTATTTGGATGAATTTTTTTTTTTTCTTCTTGTTAGCACCTCACCAATGCATGACATTATAACGAGAATATAAATCATTATTTGTGCTGAATTTTTTATAGTATTCAATTGTGCTGTAGAACCCTATTCCTGTGGATCAGCCTGTGGAACTATTTCTGTAGTACCAATAGTAGTTGTGGAATTTTTGTTGATTTATAGTTAAAAGATACATCAAAACATGTTATATATATATACCTTATCCTAAGAAATATAAAAAAAAAATGTAGTATTTACTACAGTGAAAAGTTTTTTTTTTTCCTCATTGCAAAGATTTCTAATTAGGTTAGTTCAAAAATGAATTAAAATAATTTTAAATGTGATTCAAATTTTTTTTTTAATATTTTACGTAATGAGAAAAGGCAGCAAACTGCGTTCTTGACATCCCAAAATGTTACTAAAATAGATTCATATCTATGAATTGCATAATGTATTTCCCATAAATCAAAATGAAAATTTTAAATATGCTTTAAATTTTATATGATCTTATAAATTTTATCCTGACTGCACTGATTAAAGGTCATTGAAAGCCAGTACTTGAAAATGTTTCCAATTGTCTTTCCCCAAAACAGTATCTTAACTTTTGGGGGACATATTTTCTTTCTTTGGAAACCCTGGTAGCAAAATGGTTAAGAGCTATGGCTGCTAACCAAAAGGTCAGCAGTTTGAATGCACCAGGCGTTCCTTGGAAACTCTATGGGGCAGTTCTACTCTGTCTTATAGGGTTGCTGTGAGTCAGAATCGACTAGACTGCAACAAGTTTGGTTTTTGGTTTTTTATTTTCTTTCTTTAGCTTTGTTTTGTTTTGATTAGTAGGGGAACAGCAGAACAATGTTTCATTATAGAAAAACAAATATGACAGGTATAAAGGATTGCTGCTGGCACAGTGGTTAAATGCTCAGCTGCTAACCAAATATCAGTTGTTCAAACCCACCAGCTGCTCCGTGGGAAGAAGATGTGGCAATCTGCTTCTGTAAAGATTACAGCCTTGAAAACCTGATGATGCAATTCTGCTCTGTCCTATAGTGTCCCTATGAATTGGAATCAACTTGACGACGATGAGTTCATAAAATGGAAACAGTGTAATACATAAAGAAATAGGCTGCATTTGGAAAATGTTCCTGTTGTAGTTTCCATTTAACTTCCAGGAAAGTTCTCTTGATGCATTTTTCTAATTAAACTATGCACGTTTACAGCTTGAGATTCACTGGCAATTTTGTGTTTTGGTTTAGTTTTAACCAACTGCACTTTCTTTATATCTATATGCCAATGTGAAATTTTCTCTCCCACTTGTACTTTCTGTGAATATTTAAAGTACACTGATAACCTTTGGGGGGTGTATGTTTATTTGGAAACCCCAGTGGCTTAGTGGTTAAGAGCTATGTCTGCTACTCAAAAGGTCAGCTGTTCAAATTCACCAGGTGCTCCTTGGAAACCCTATGAGGCAGTTCTACTGTGTCCTTCAAGGTTGCTATGAGTCGGAATTGACTCGATGGCAATGAGTGGTGGTGGCGGTGTTTATTTACAATGGTATGTTATTAGATTGATGTCACTGTAAGAGTATCAAATCTGAGAAATTTTGAAGTAATGGGGATTGAAGGTTGACATACTAGTTTTGAATGGTATGCCATTTATTGTTTTATTGCTCATGAATTTTTAGGTAAGATTCATTTTTGACTTTATTTCTAAATGTTCTTTGTCTGCCATGCTCTTTGTTTGGTATCTATGGAAAGTAAAAGTAAGATAAACTCTTTATTGCTATGTATTTGAGTTAAAGACCATAATCTATGGGGAATTTTGGGAACATTTCTTAATTCCACAACATGCTATAACATTGTCAATACAAGGAAAGGTGATTTCAGAAGGATGAGGCGGATTATGATTTTTGTTTTGGTTTTTTTTTAACTTTTTTTTATTGTTGTACTTTAAGTGAAAGTTGATAATTCAAGTTAGTCTCTCATACAAAAATTTATACATTGTTATGTGACCCTAATTGCTCTCCCTATACTGTGACAGCACATTCCTCCTTTCCACCCCTGATTTCCCGTGTCCATTCAACCAGCTCCTGACCCTGTCTGCCTTCTCATCTCATCTCCGGACAGGAGCTGCCCATTTAGTCTCATGTATCTACTTGAGCTAAGCAGCACACTCTTCACGAGTATCATTTTGTGTCCCATAGTCCAGTCTAATCTTTGACTGAAGAGTTGGCCTCGGGAATGGTTTTACTGCTGGGTTGACAGTGCAGGGGCCATGCTTTCTGGGGTTCCTCCAGTCTCAGTCAGACAATTAAGTCTGGTCTTTTTACTAGAATTTGAGTTCTGTACCCCACTTTTCTCCTGCTACGTCAGGGACTCTCTGTTGTGTTCCCTGTCAGGGCGGTTATTGGTGGTAACTGGGCACCATCTAGTTCTTCTGGTCTCAGGCTGTTGCAGTCTCCAGTTTATGTGGCCCTTTCTGTCTCTTGGGCTAATGCTTTGCTTGTGACTTTGGTGTTCTTCATTCTTCTTTACTCCATGTGGGTTAGGACCAATTGAGCCATCTTAGATGGCCGCTCGCTAGCTTTTAAGACCCCAGACACCACTCACCAAAGTAGGATGCAAAACATTTTCTTAATAAACTTTGTTATGCCAGTTGACCTAGATGTTCCCTGAAAGCATGGTCCCCAGACCCCCATCCCTGCTACTCTGTCCCTCGAAGTGTTTGGTTGTATTCAGGATACTTCTTAGCTTTGGTTTAGTCCAGTTGTTCTGCTTCCCCTGTAGTGCGTGCTGTCCTTCCCTTCACCTAAGATAATTCTTGTCTTCTATCTAGTTAGTCAGTAACCCTCTCCCTTCTTCCCCACCCTCGTAACCATCAAAGAATGTTTTCTTCTGTGTTTAAAC